CCTCCGCAAAAGAATAAATGGACACAAATCGGACATCAGGAATGGTAACATACATAAGCCAGTAAATGAACACTTCAATCTCCCTGGTCATTCTATTACAGATTTAAAAGTCACTATCATTGAACAAAAAAACTTCAGAAACAGACTTCAAAGAGAAACAGCAGAACTAAAATTCATTTGCAAATTTAACACCATTAATCTGGGCTTGAATAGGGACTGGGAGTGGCTTTCTCCTAGCACATTCTGACTCCTTTATGGAGATCCTATACACATAGAATAATCAAGCCTTGTCCTAACAGAACCTATATCCTCTACTCCTACAATATTTCCATCATATCTTCCTACATCACAAACACCTGATATTGAAAGAGAAAAAAACCCACAAACAAAAAATAGCCATAGTGTAGTCCAGTCAGTTCAGAATATGAGAGCTGTTAATCTTTCCACATATGTTCCAACTCCCAAGCAAGTAAAAGGAAATTAATGGCAATGGGAGTAAACAATGGCCTGTGTCCAATGCCCAAGCATCACAGAAACCACTTGTTGCTGTCTGGGGTGCAAGAGTGACAAAATTGAAGCTCGGATTAAGGGGTGGCCCTTCTCCCGCCATTCTTTTCTGTGGCAATACACAAATTAGGAAGGAAAGTGAATGAAAAATCACTTTCCCCCCTTGTTTATTTTTGTTTTGTTTGTTTATTTTTGTTTATTCATAATTAGGTTGGGAGGGGGGGTTGTAATCTTTTCCAATAGTCTGCTGGAAACAAATTTAAAGGTGTAATGTAAACAAATTTGACAAACCCATGCTGGGCAAGAATTGGTGGGTATTGCTAGCTGTTCCCTCTAGAGGCTTGCACTACTAAGGGCTTGTCTACACCCAGTCGCTAGTTCGGTGGCTGGGAATCGAAGTTCTGGGTTCGACTTATCGCGTCTTGTCTGGACGCGATAAATCGAACCAGGAAGTGATCGCCGTCGACTGCGGTACTCCAGCTCAGCGAGAGGAGTACCGCGGAGTCGACGGGGGAGCCTGCCTGCCGCGTGTGGACCACGTCTGAACCGCGGTAAGTTCGAACTAAGGTATGTCGACTTCAGCTACGTTATTCACGTAGCTGAAGTTGCGTACCTTAGTTCGACTTGGAGGGTTAGTGTAGACCAGGCCTAACAAAGCTCCATTGCTATGCCTCAGGGGGCCTTAAGAGCTAGTTCCATTCAAATCATCTGTTCCAGATTTCTTCAGCTTACTTCAGACAGACCTAAATCAAATTATTGGAGACCTTTGTCCCCAGAATTCAGAGCACAAATAACTGGCATGGGAAATGGATTATATATATTTTTCTTGATTAATAATTTTAACATATTTGTCTCCAACATCCATCTTCCCCATTTATCTCCTTCATCCATATCTCACATGTTTTGCTTCAGTTTTACAACCAATCCTCTAAAACACATCCTTACAGGCTCTTTTCTGGGTGATATTTGCCTTGATCATGCATTACAGAGCTTACATTTATCCCAGTCACTGATTAATTTTTTTTAGGGCTGTCAATTAATCACAGTTAACTCACGCGATTAACTCAAAACAATTAATTGCAATACTGTTAAACAGTAGAATACAAATTGAAATGTATTAAATATTTTTGGATGTTTTTCTAAATTTTCAAATATTTCGATTTCTATTACAACACAGAATACAAAGTGTACAGTGCTCACTTTATATTATTATTTTTATTACAAATATTTGCAATGTAAAAATGATAAACAAAAGAAATAGTATTTTTCAATTCATCTCATACAAGTACTGTAGTGAAATCTCTTTTTCGTGAAATTTTAACTTACAAATGTAGATTTTTTTTTGTTACACAACTGCACTCAAAAACAAAACAATGTAAAACTTTAGAGCCTACAAGTCCACTCAGTCCTACTTCTTATTCAGCCAATCGCTAAGACAAACAAGTTTGTTTTCATTTATGGGAGATACTGCTACCTGCTTCTTATTTACAATGTCACCTGAAATTGAGAACAGGCATTCCCATGGCACTTTTGTAGCTGGCGTTGCAAGGTATTTACATGACAGATATACTAAACATTTGTATGCCCCTTCATGCTTCGGCCACCATTCCAGAGGACACGCTTCCATGCTGATGATGCTCGTTAAACAAAATAATGCATTAATTAAATTTGTGACTGAACTCTTTGGGGGAGAATTGTATGTCTCCTGATCTGTTTTACCCGCATTCTGCCATATATTTCATATTATAGCAGTCGCAGATGATGAGCCAGCACATGTTCGTTTTAAGAACACTTTCACAGCAGTTTTGACAAAATGCAAAGAAGGTACCAATGTGAGATTTCTAAAAATAGCTACAGCACTAGACTCAAGGTTTAAGAATCTGAAGTGCCTTCCAAAATCTGAGAGGGACAAAGTGTGGAGCATGCTTTCAGAAGTTTTAAAAGAGCAACACTCAGATGTAGAAACTACAGAACCCAAACCACCAAAAAAAATCAACCTTCTGCTGGTGGCATCTGACTCAGATGATGAAAATGAACATGCGTCATTGGTCCGTTCTGCTTTGGATCATTATCTAGCAGAACCCATCATCAGCATGGACGCATGTTCTCTGAAATGGTGGTTGAAGCATGAAGGGACATGTGAATCTTTAGCACATCTGGCACGTAAATATCTTGAGACGCTGGCTACAACAGTGCTATGAGAACACCTGTTCTTACTTTCAGGTGATATTGTAAACAAGAAGCCGGCAGCAATATCTCCTGCAAATGCAAACAAACTTGTTTGTCTGAGCGATTGGCTGAAGTAGGACTGAGTGGACTTGTAGTCTGTAAAGTTTTACATTGTTTTATTTTTGAGTGCAGTTATTTTTTGTACATAATTCTACATTTGTAAGTTAAACTTTCATGACAAAGAGATTGCACTATAGTACTTGTATTAGGTGAACTGAAAAATACTATTTCTTTTGTTTTTTACAGTGCAAATATTTCTAAATAAAATAAATATAAAGTGAGCACTTAACACTTTGTATTCTGTGTTGTATTGAAATCCATATATCTGAAAATGTAGAAAACATCCACAAATATTTAAATAAATGGTATCCTATTATTGTTTAACAGCGCAATTAATAGCGATTAATTTTTTTAATTGCGTGATTAATCGCGATTAATTTTTTTAATCACTTGACAGCCCTAAATTTTTACATTCAAATAGAGCAGAATAAAATCAGGATTACATATGAAACAAAAAAGGTGAAGGTTTCACTATTTATCTTTACAGCTTCCATTTACTCTTTCTATCAATATCCTCTTTATAGTAAAATGATTTTCTTGCTTATACATTTTTTTTAAATAACAAAGGTGTTGTTTTAGGAAGTGACTAAAAGAGAGAAATTACTTTTCTCACTTTAAATTGTCATTTCTTTAGGGTACATCTATTATTTCTAACTGTTTTAGAGCCCTATCCATAATATAATGTGAATGTCGTGAGGTGAACCTTACTTTTCTAAAACAATCAATGGACATTCTGCATAGTAGACATTTGCTTGTCACCAGTTACAATCTGGTCAAATATTATTCTGTATCTTTAAGTTTGTTTATCGTATTACCACATTTTCAAGACGGTTGCTGCCCAGTACTTTAGGAGCTGATTGTGGCCTAGTCCTCACTGATTAAAATCAAGATAATCAAAAGCAACTTCTGGCTACTGTTACCGGAAAGAAAGAGAGGTTGCAATTCCTCACATTTTGTTGTGCCTGTATCATAGGATAGTGATAATTCAGCCATTGTTTTTTGAATTTTTAATTTACTCTGCCAAGAGTAGAGGTTCTGTTACTTCTTGAGAAAAATGAATGACCAAACAAACACAAAACTAAATCACATTGAATTACTGCCACAGAAAAGATTAAAGTTCTCTCAAGCATTTTTTTTCTCCTGAAAAGGGTGGCATATATAACATGAAGACAAAATATAATACAGATACAATACAGATAAAAGTAGATAACTTGAAAAATTAATTATTCAGTTTATAAAAGCTAGTTTTGCATAGTACTGTAGTAAATTTACATAGAAAAATGGACTTTTTTTCTTATTAATTATTATTATTGCTATAAAATTGTTTCTGTCTTGCTATAAAGCTTAATGAATGCTTATATAAAAGCATACATCTTTCTTTTCTTTCAGAATAAAACAATGCATACATTTCATTAGTTATCAATTTTGCTAAAGTATTTAACAAAAAGAAGTTATTTTATTTTATTAGGAACAATTAATTCAGAAAGCATCAAAATGACCTTTCTACTCTATTTGAACACCTAGACAGATTCAGTGAGACAATTACTTCCACATACATGTCTGGAAATTTAACATCATTCTACAAGTCTTCAATCAGATCCCTGTGGTATTGCATGGGGGTCTATTTCAGCAGAATTTAGTATTTTTAGGAGATAAAGGATTTGGATAAGGGAGGCAGTTCTTAATCCATACTCCCAGTTCAGGAATGAGATTGTGTTACTTCCTTCTTTTCAAAATCAATTTATATTGACAACATATATTCAAATAACTGGCTTTATACCCTGAATTGGAGAAAACCCTCTAAAGAACAACATTTCATTGTAGTTGTGGTTTTATTGCCAACGGTAAAGTTTTAATTTACAGCGAAAAACAAAAGTTTCCCTCTTCAGAGGTCTCTCCAGCTCTAAGTATCAAGGTTTATTGGCTCTTCTTTACCTCATCTTTTTTCTCTGGGACAAGAAACTCTACTGAATGAAAATACCCTCTTCCACCTTCACCCCGCTAAGAAATAAGGTAATTTGATGATAGATATTTTGCCAAAAATACACTTTTTTAACTCCGAAGAAACACAAACAGAGAGGAGAAAAGAGCTCTTTTTGGCTTGCAGCTGGGCGGGCTCTTTAACGTACCAATCACAGATCAGCTCTTCTCTATAAATTCAGGCATCTGACCTACTCTCTCCAGCCCGATTACTTTTGATTTGCTGAAAACGTTTGTCAGCATGTCGGAAACTGCGCCTGTTGCAGCTCCTGCTGTCTCCGCTCCTGGGGCAAAAACCTCCGCTAAAAAACCGAAGAAGGCAGCAGCTAGTGCTAAAGCCCGCAAGCCTCCAGGTCCCAGCGTGACCGAGCTGATCACCAAGGCGGTGTCCGCTTCCAAGGAGCGCAAAGGGCTCTCCTTAGCCGCTCTTAAGAAGGCTCTGGCCGCTGGAGGGTACGATGTGGAGAAAAACAACAGCCGCATCAAGGTAGGATTAAAGAGCCTGGTGAGTAAAGGCATTTTGGTGCAGACAAAAGGTACTGGTGCTTCTGGTTCTTTCAAACTCAACAAGAAGCCTGGTGAGATTAAGGAGAAGGCGCCGAAGAAAAAACCAGCGGCAAAGCCTAAGAAACCAGCTGCCAAGAAGCCCGCCAGCGCCGCTAAGAAACCCAAAAAGGCTGCGGTGGCGAAAAAGAGCCCGAAAAAAGTCAAGAAACCGGCGGCTTCTGCAGTCAAGAAAGCGGCCAAGAGCCCGAAAAAAGTGAAAGCCGCCAAGCCCAAGAAAGCAGCTAAGAGCCCGGCTAAGGCGGTGAAACCAAAAGCTGCCAAGCCCAAGCCAACAAAGGCCAAAACAGCGAAGGCGAAGAGGGCAGCGCCTAAAAAATAAAGTGTAAATTTGAAAAGGAAATTTCTGACCCAACGGCTCTTTTAAGAGCCACCCCCAAGTTTCAGAAAAAGAGCAAAATCGCTGACACTCGGAAACTTCGTAGGTGGTTTGAAAGTATCCTGAGTACTCGCTTTGTTACATAGGTTGGGTACAGGGAGTGTGTATTTAATGCTCGCGCTTTCTGGTATACCCTTGGGATGGCTTCCTGGGCAGTTTTAATTAAAAAAGATTAGACAGTGAAGACGGTTATAGCGCCGGGCAGCTATCGATAAAACCCCCTTACGGTGGCGCTGTTCTGGGTACCTATGAGTCAGCTGGTTAGGGGCGGGGTCTTTGCTCCCAGTAGATTTCTAAACTAGTGCTTCGTTCTAACCATTTCGACCAATACTGACAAAATAAGAAACCGAGAACTACGAACTTTCTCCGTCCTGTTCGGCTATCTCCTCTCTTATTGGCTGATAGTTCATATATGGCTAAATCTTATTGGACACATCCAAATTTTTGAAAACCCCGCGCGCTCTGAGAAGAGCGCCCTTCCCTTTCTCTGATTTGATTGATCACAAAAACTGTCGTCACCAATGACCCCCGATCCTTGAAATGCTCGCTCCCTGAAGGATTCTGATTTTCCTATTTCCAACCCCATCCCCCTAAAGCATCCGTCTTTCAAATACTTTCCACCAACTATTAGAGACAAGGTGGGTGAGAATATCTTTAAGCTTGTCTCTCTCACCAATAGAACTTGGTACAACATAAGATATCTGACCCACCTTGTCGCTAATATCCTGGGACAGACACGGCTACAAAACTGCATTTCCCATCCCAACTACATAGTTATTGCCCGATTACTGAAATCTATTTTTTCTCTTTCCTCTCTCTCTGTATCACACAGTATATAAATATTGTACTTGTCTCACTGTTTCATGTTCAGACTGACCTATTTATGACTTCTGAACACTAGTCCCAGAGAACAGGCATGGAGGTAGACCAGGTTTTTTTATGTATTCATATTTCCATTCTTGTATTAATTCGGAATGATTTAAAGGGGAGAGTGAGCTAAAAACTCCTTTCCCCTCAGATTGATTGGGTATGTAATCCAGAACCCATCAATTCTTCTCTTTACATTTAACGTGTAGATTAAGGACAGATGGAGAATGTACCTGGATTCATTTACAATACTTCCATAAACTGTTTCCTCGTATTTTTCTTATTTCACAACACAAATGTATCCTAGAACCAAGACGTGTCTTAGGTTTACTGTTTTGGATTAAATAATTTCTTTGATATTGATGCAAACCTTGCCAGCTAAAAAAAGGTATTTCAAGTGCCACACAATAGTTCATCAAAAGTTTTGAGTTAATTTTCATTTATGGGAAGTCTTGTCAGGCAAACATTGAGTTAATCAACGCAAAACCAACAGAAAAGTAGTAAGGAGCATTTATATGGACACTGAATGCACACACTCAAGTGGAAGATAAGAGAAAGCAGTAACAAAGGATATATATATAAAACATACTTTTACTTTCATCATTTGAGTATTCATATACAGTAAACTTCAATTTTACTTCTTGTATTTATGTGGCTTTTGGTTCCTCAATAGGCCAAATACATTTCCAGCATCAATCAATAATTAACACCGATACTAAAAATGCAGAATAGAGTACGTGTGTCAAAACAACACCAAGCATGGTTTAGTGCTAAAGCTCTTTTACAGAATAGGTGGGCGGCTCTGAAAAGAGCCTTTGGGTTACAGATGTTAGCATTCGTTCCATAGATCTTTACTTAGAGCTGGTGTACTTGGTAACAGCCTTTGTACCCTCAGACACCGCGTGTTTGGCTAACTCCCCAGGGAGCAGAAGGCGCACAGCGGTCTGGATCTCCCGGGAAGTGATGGTCGAGCGCTTGTTGTAATGCGCCAGACGAGACGCTTCCCCAGCGATACGTTCGAAAATGTCATTTACAAAGGAGTTCATAATCCCCATGGCCTTAGAAGAAATGCCGGTGTCCGGATGAACTTGCTTCAATACTTTGTACACGTAAATTGAATAACTTTCCTTCCTAGTTTTTCTACGTTTCTTATCCCCCTTCTTCTGCGTCTTGGTCACGGCTTTCTTAGAGCCCTTCTTGGGAGCCGGAGCAGATTTCGCCGGCTCAGGCATTTTAATAGCTAACTGTACTCTGCCACACAACAACGACTACAACAAACTCAAAGAAAGGCTTTCCTCCCTCTATTTATAGGTTTGCTATGCAAATGAGCAGCCTATGTTTTCTCGTTTTCTATTGGCAGTTAGATTAAACATAAGGCAACGCGTTTTATGCTGCAATTGGTCAACGTGAGATCCTTGTCTTCATTGGTTGCTCAAACAGTGACATTTTTCAACCAATCATGATTCACTAATCCGTCCAGGAGAGGGGATAAAAGGCCAAGAGTCATTGCGTCATTATGTTTTTCTCATCTGTGTCTTTGTGAACGGTGGTGTCTGTGGTGAAGAATTGCAATGTCGGGCCGAGGGAAACAAGGAGGCAAAGTGAGGGCTAAGGCAAAGTCTCGGTCATCTCGGGCTGGTTTGCAGTTCCCGGTGGGCCGTGTTCATCGGCTTCTCCGGAAGGGTAATTATGCTGAGCGAGTTGGCGCTGGAGCCCCTGTATATATGGCTGCTGTCTTAGAATATCTGACTGCTGAGATTCTCGAGTTGGCTGGTAACGCTGCTCGCGATAACAAAAAAACCAGGATCATTCCTCGCCATTTACAGCTCGCCATTCGTAACGACGAGGAGCTCAACAAACTGCTGGGGAAAGTCACCATTGCTCAAGGGGGTGTTCTGCCCAACATCCAGGCTGTGCTGCTGCCTAAGAAAACCGAAAGTCATAAAGCCAAGAGCAAGTAAAAGTGATCTAGAAAAAAAGAGAGATCCGAAGCTGTGCTTAAAGTTAAAAAAAAATAACCCAAAGGCTCTTTTCAGAGCCACCCACAGGTTCAGAAAAGAGCTAAATTATTGTCTTACGGATTTAACGAAGTGAGTACGCTTTGTGTTTTAAATTTCATCATTTTGCAGCAGTTTTTCTCCTAGGGTTCCCCACGTTCTGCATTAAGTAATCAACCTTTCGAATTACCAGTAGTTGTATTGCAATGAATTTCTAGGTGTTATCGATATAATTTGTAATTTAGTATATGCCTCGTGTTCGTAGTTTAAATATGTAATATATGGAAACTAACAATAAGTCGTAAAACCTCACTTCGGCCATGTTCCATATTTAACCCATCTCCCCAGTCCTTTTATTGTGGTCTGGTCGTTCTGCCTGTCTTAAAACAAATGTATCCGCTTGAAGGTCACTCTGAAAAAGGATCCTTAGAGACGTGAATGAATTTAGAGGATTGGCTGAAACCACAAGCACAGCAAGAGGTGGATGTACAATAAAAAGGGCGAAAAATATCAGGATACATGTATTACATAAAAACTGAAAAAAGCATTCATAGATCTTCTTCTCTTCATGTGTGTGCTCTGATTTAAGGGGATAAAGCTTTCCTGCGATTTAATTTAGATATGTTTGGAAATGAACTAATGAAATCTAGAGGTGCGGTGTGTTAAACCAAACTAGCTCCTCAAATTACCGGGACCGGGCGATGAAGCGTTGAATTTAGAGAAAGCCCCCTAGAAGAAACAAGTGGCCACGGGCCGCACTGATCAATTGCTGCACTGGGCGGGCTTTTCAAACCCGCCAGCCGTTTTCATTTCGTTGCTACTCAGCTGCGTTTTGTATTTCTTCCTTCTCTCTCTTCTCCCTCGTTCCTCCCAATCACCAGCGGCACTTCCCATTTTCCTCATTCTCTCCTTTCACCTTCTGTACTGAAGAGATCGAGGCGCTCCAAAGAGTACGCTCTGCAGAACTGAGTTAAGAGGTTATCAGAGATTTAGTAGATTCCCAGCTCACATGGCCTGAGCGCTGCTGTTTCGGTGTCATAGAGTGCCGAAGTTGCCATGAGAGCGACAGGTGGTGGTGGGGATCCTCGTTTTATGGGGAGCACAGAGTCCCATAATGAGCCAAGACATCGGTATTTTCTGCGTCGATTCCCCGCCTATACCATGGCTGCAATCCCGAAGGATCAAAGTTCCTCCCTCAGCCCAAGTGAGCCAAAGCACCAGCTATGGGGGAACCGCTCAAGTGCCTATAACTCCATCTCGAGCCCTCTCCCCCACAATCCATTTTATAATTTATCTCCAGAATGTTTAATGCACTTTACTGCATCGACTCCCTGCAGAGCCGGGATGAAGGATAACTAGTTTACCTATGCTCCAGGGAGGTAAGCAACTTTGATAGGAGAGAGCTTGGAACTCTGGGGCTGTGCAGGTAGTTTGTAGCAGTGATATTGTGGGTGGGGAGTGCTATTCATACCTCCTCATTTCAAACCTCCCCCTTTTATATCTCAAGCTCCAAATAAATGTGTTCATCCTCCCAAAATGTAGCCTTGATGTGAAATACAAACTTCCTGCTGCCATGCAACAGCTCTCTCTCCAGGCTGAGGTAAAGCATCTTTCCTTTGAGTCCCATTAAAATTAGAATGCTCGTTATTCAGTGCTAGGCCATCAGTTTATTACACTCAGGTTTACCAACTGGACCTCTATCATCACAAAGAGAACCTTTGGCAATAGGTTGGGGAGGTGTGTTGTGGATTAGATAGGATTTCTGTGATTTATTTAAATAATCTTTATTTCTCTTGTTTTGACACAGTAACAGTAACTTGTGTTTGGGGTATTGTTTCCAAGAACTTAGTTTTACTTTTACACCACACTTTTGTAAGCAACCTATCTTCTTTCATGTGTGTTTAAAAATATTTTAACTACATGTGTTAATTGTATATTTATAGTTTTTTAAAGGGAACAATTCTGGCTTTATTTTTGAAGGTTGTCTATTTTAAGACCAAACATCCCAAACACATAGAAAAGAAGAGCAGAATATAGGAAAATGCATCTTTTCTCTTTGATGCTTTCAGTTTAGTTACAATGAAGTGTTGCAGAGCTACATTTTTTCCGGTTGGCCTAAATGGACTCTTATTGGGGGGTGGGGGAGACTAGAGGTAGGAGGCAGAAATTATTTCACTGTCACTCTTAAACTGGTCCAATTACCCTCTTGGTTCCAAGCTGACACCTTATATAGGCTTTGAGTCATTGGCTCTTGTTATACCTTTGCCTGCTAGATTTAAGAGCCCTCTACTATAAACTAAACTAAAACAAAACAAACAAAAACTCTCCAGGTCAGTGCTTGGAGACTGTGAACAGAACACCCTTACTCTTCTCTTGTATAAGCTAAACAGAATGAATTTCTTAAGTGTCTTTGTAAGGTAGATGTTCCAGGCTTCAATTCATTCTTGGAGTTTTCTGAAACCTGTCCAAATTTTTCAACATCCTTTTTGGAGCATGGATACTAGAACTAGACAAAGAATTACTATAATGGTATCACCAAAGCCACATAAAGAAGTAATACCATCCTAATTATACATCTAAGGTTTGTGTTAGAACTCTTAGCAACAGCATTGCACTCAGAGCTCCTGTTTAATTGGCTACCTACCTTTTTCAGAGTCACTGTTTTCCAGGACACAGTCAACCGGCCTGTAAGTGTGTCCTACATTCTTTGTTCCTAGGTGTATAACCTTGCACTTACATTTATTAAAATATATGATGTGCTGATGATCATGATGGTGATGCTAGTAATGCCCACTGCCACACAAAACCAAGTTGACAAGTACTCCCAGAAAACTAGTGTCCAAAAAAAAGATGGCAATGTTTTCTCAATAAAAACAATTATCTGTATGTGCATATTTATTGTCATCATAAGAACATTTTGGTCTGTTATGCTAACAATTCTCTTATCTCAGCAGAAATCTTAACATGAGCAACTTGGTGGACTTCTGAGTGGTGTGTTTTTGGGAGGTGCCTTCATTGTTTAGATGGAAGGAAGGCTTTTAGCAGCCTTGTGTATCAACCTCTCATTTTTCTATTTCAGTAACCTTTCCTTAGTTCCTCCTGAGCCACTGACACAGGCAATCCAGTTCTTCCACTGATTATGGACATTCATTAATTGTGGTACTTCTTTCCAGATGATGCCAGCATATTGAATACCCTTTGTCATTGTCTTCTGCCAGTGTTTCCTTGGCCTTCCTCACTTTCTTTTTCCTCCCTTGGGTACCCAATTCCATACTTGCTTACCATGTCTCCCATCTTCCATACTGTGTACATCTCCCAACCACCTGAGCCTTCTTTCTTTGTTTATATTATCTAACATGTCCTGCTCTGTCAGCCCCCTTACTCTCGCATTTCTTATTTTGTTTTTCCATTAAATGTGTAGTGTCTTCCTCAACTATCTGTAATTGGCAGCTTCTAATCTCTTTTTGTTAGTCACTGTCATCTTCCAAATCTCTACTCCTCACAATACTGTGTTCAGTACAACCACATAGTATAGTCTGATCTTTAGTTTGGTATGGAGACCTCTGTTTGACCAGATGTTGTTCATCCTTCCAAAGGTGTTATTTACTTTTCCTAATCTTGTATGAATATCTTTATGGCAGCCACCTTCAAATATCATCACATCCCCAGGTAGCCAAGACTCTTCTATCTGATCAATTTCTTTCCCATTCATGTACACCTTTGCTTCTGTTAAGATCATGAAGGTAGGAAACCAGACAACTGTGCAAAGGTGTATATGGATGACAAGGAGATTGTAGTTGAAGCAGTGTCTAAGTCTGTGAAACTGAGTTATAGTTTCATGACCTGTGGCAAAGTTAGGTATGTTAGGTCACCCAGAATCACTGTTGGTATAGAGACAGCCTTAATGGTAAGGTAGTAGGGTGAGAAGAGTGTCCTTCACTGTCTGCTCAGTGTGTGTGTGTGTGTGTGTGTAGGCGGAAAGGGGGCATTTATTTATTTTTAAATACAAATAAAGTTTTGTCATAATTGTGTCTAGCTGCCCTCTGTATGTGTTAAGAAATGGCAGTGACCCCCTAACACCTTTATTACCTTGATGGCGTAGCCTTTTCAATTATGGTATAGTTGTACCACGGTTAAGTTTGTATTACAACGTTCAGTTTAATAAGAGTTTTAAACAGGATCTTTGTAACAATTGCATTGAAAAGGCAAAAATAAAAACATAGACTATAAACACTGAGGATCTTTGATTTTTTTATGGTGATTTGATAAATAACACAGGATGACCATGAGTTGCCAATATGATGTGGCCGTGAACAAGGCTCATGCAATCCTAGGATGAATCAGGCAAGGTTTTTCCTATAGAGATAGGTAAGTGTTATTACCATTGTACAAGGGACTGGTGAGACCTCAACTGGAATACTGTGTTCAAGTCTGTTCTTCCATATTTAAGAACGATTAAATCATTCTGGAATAGATACTGGAATGATCAGAGGAATGGAGAACTTGCCTTACCAGAGAGACTTAAGGAGCTGGGCTTGTTTAACCTAACAAAATGAAGGCTGAGGGGAGATATGATTGCTGTCCATACGTACATCAGAGGGATAAACACCAAGGAGGGAGAGGAATTCTTTAAGTTGAGGACTAAAGGTGCACAAGAAGATATGGATATACACATGCCATCAACAAGTTTACACTTGAAATTAGACAAAGATTTCTAACCGTCAGAGGAGTGAAGTTCTGGACCAGCCTACTGTGGCATATGGCCCAGCCACAATTTCTATTAGCAAATATCTCCAATGGTTGGAGATGGGACACTAGATGGGGAAAGCTCTGAGTTACTACAGAGAATTCTTTCCCAGGAGTCTGGTTGGTGGGTCTGACCCACATGCTCAGGGTCTAACTGATCACCATATTTGGGGTCAGGAAGGAATTTTCCTCAAGGTCAGATTAGCAGAGATGCTGGGGATTTTTTTGTCTTCCTCTGCAGTGTTGGGCAAGGGTCAGTTGCTGGTTTGAATTAGATTAAATGGTGGATTCTTTGCAACTTTGAAGTCTTTAAATCAACATTTGAGGACTTAAGTAACTCAGCTAGAGGTTATGGGCCTATTGCAAGAGCGGGTGGATGAGGTTTTGTGGCCTGCAATGTGCAGAAGGTCTGACTAGATGATCATGATGATGGTCCCTTCTTGCCTTAAAGGGTATGTCTACACTACGAAATTAGGTCAATTTAATAGAAGTCATTTTTTTAGAAATCGATTTGATACAATCGATTGTGTGTGTCCCCACTAAGCGCATTAAGTCGACAGCGTGCTTCCACAGTACTGAGGCTAGCGTCTACTTTCGGAGCATTGCACTGTGGTAGCTATCCCACAGTTCCCGCAGTCTCCACCGCCCATTGGAATTCTGGGTTGAGCTCCCAATGCCTGATGGGGCAAAAACATTGTTGCGGGTGGTTCTGGGTACATGTCGTCAGGCCCCCCTCCCTCAGTGAGAGCAACAGCTGAGAATCGTTTCGCGCCTTTTTTCTGCGCAGACACCATACCACGGCAAGCATGGAGCCCGCTCAGATCGCCACGGCAGTTATGAGCACTGTAAACACTACACGCATTATCCTGCAGTGTATGCAGCACCAGAACCTGCAAAAGCAGGTGAGGAGGCGATGGCAGCGCGGTGACGAGAGTGATGAGGACATGGACACAGACTTCTCTCAAAGCATAGGCCCTGGCAATTTGGACATCATGGTGGTAATTGGGCAGGTTCATGCCGTGGAAAGCTGATTCTGGGCCCGTGCAACAAGCACAGACTGGTGGGACCGCATAGTGTTGCAGGTCTGGGATGATTCCCAGTGGCTACAAAACTTTCGCATGCGTAAGGGCACTTTCATGGAACTTTGTGACTTGCTTTCCCCTGCCCTGAAGCGCAAGAATGTCAAGATGAGAGCAGCCCTCACAGTTCACAAGCGAGTGGCAATAGCCCTCTGGAAGCTTGCAATGCCAGACAGCTACCGGTCAGTCGGGAATCAATTTGGAGTGGGCAAATCTATTGTGGGGGCTGCTGTGATCCAAGTAGCCAAGGCGATCACTGACCTGCTGCTGTCAAGGGTAGTGACTCTGGAAAATGTGCAGGTCATAGTGGATGGCTTTGCTGCAATGGGATTCTCTAACTGCGGTGGGGCGATAGACGGAACGCATATCCCTATCTTGGGACTAGAGCACCAAGGCAGCCAGTACATAAACCGAAAGGGGTACTTTTCAATGGTGCTGCAAGCACTGGTGGATCACAAGGGACGTTTCACCAACATCAACGTGGGATTGCCGGGAAAGGTACATGACACTCACATCTTTAGGAACTCTGGTCTGTGTGAACGGCTGCAGCAAGGGACTTACTTTCCAGACTAGAAAATAACTGTTGGGGATGTTGAAATGCCTATAGTTATCCTTGGGGACCAGCCTACCCCTTAATGCCATGGCTCATGAAGCCATACACAGGCACCCTGGACAGTAGTCAGGAGCTGTTCAACTATAGGCTGAGCAAGTGCAGAATGGTGGTAGAATTTGCCTTTGAACATTTAAAAGTGCGCTGGTGCAGTTTACTGACTCGATTAGACCTCAGCGAAACCAATGTTCCCATTGTTATTACTGCTTGCTTTGTGCTCCACAATATCTGTGTGAGTAAGGGGGAGACGTTTATGGCGGGATGGGAGGTTGAGGCAAATCGCCTGGCCGCTGATTACGTGCAGCCAGACACCAGGGCGGTTAGAAGAGCACAGCAGGGCGCGCTGCACATCAGAGAAGCTTTGAAAACCAGTTTCATGACTGGCCAGGCTACGGTGTGAAAGTTCTGTTTGTTTATCCTTGATGAAAACCTGTCCCCTTGGTTCACTCTACTTCCCTGTAAGCAAACCACCCTCCCCACCCCCTTTGATCACTGCTTGCAGAGGCTATAAAGTCATTGTTATTTCAAATTCATGCATTCTTTATTATTTCATCACACAAATGGGGGGATAACTGCCAAGGTAGCCCAGGTGGGGTGGTGGAGGAGGGAAGGACAAGGTCACACTGCACTTCAAAACTTATTGAATGCCAGCCTTTTGTTGCTTGGAGAGTCCTTTAGGGTGGAGTGGTTGGGTGCCCGGAGGCTCCCCCACCGCGTTCTTGGGCGTCTGGGTGAGGAGGCTATGGAACTTGGGGAGGAGGGCGGTTCGTTACACAGGGGCTGCAGTGGCGGTCTGTGCTCCTGCTTCCTTTTCTGCACCTCAACAATATGCTGGAGAATATCAGTTTGATCTTCTAGTAGCCTCAGCATTGCATCCTGCCTCCTCTCATCACGCTGATGCCACCTATCATCTTGATCCGGCCACATGTCCTCGCGTTCATTTAGTGATTTCCTGCACTCTGAAAGTGTCTGCCTCCATGCATTCTGCTGGGCTCTTTCAGTGTGGGAGCACTGCATAAGCTCAGAGAATATTTCAGCTCGAGTGCGTTTTTTTAACCTTCTAATCTTCGCTAGCCTCTGGGACGCAGATGATATGGAGAGCGTTGAAACATTTGCAGCTGCGGGAGGAAAAAAAGGGAGAGTAGTATTTAAAAAGACACATTTTAGAGAACAATGGGTAGACTCTTTCATGGTGAACCAAGTTGTTAACATTACATGGTTTCAAACAGCAGCGCCCTCATTTCCCATACCAAGCACCTGTTGGGTTGGCCATTTAAAATGGGTTGGCCATTTAAAAGGAGGGGCTGCGGTTTTCAGGTTAAAGTGCAGCACAAACCCAACTAACCCCCTCCCCCCACACCTGCACACCCTATTCTCTGGGATGATAGCTTCACCCCTCCCCCCACTGTGTGGCGCACAGCGGGGATGATTTCTGTTCAGCCACAGGCAAACAGCCCAGCAGGAACGGCCACCTCTGAATGTCCCCTTAATAAAATTCCCCTATTGCAACCAGGTGACCATGAATGATATCACTCTCCTGAGGATAACACAGAGAGATAAAGAATGGATGTTGCTTGAATGCCAGCAAACACTGGGACCATATACTGCCATGCTTTGATATGCAATGATTCCAGACTACGTGCTACTGGCCTGGCGTGGTAAAGTGTCCTACCATGGAGGACGGAATAAGGCTGCCCTCTCCAGAAACCTTTTGCAAAGGCTTTGGGAGTACATCCAGGAGAGCTTCATTGAGATGTCCCTGGAGGATTTACGCTCCATCCCCATACACGTTAACAGACTTTTCCAGTAGCTGTACTGGCCGCGAATGCATCCCATGTTTTCAGGGCAAATTAATCATTAAACATGCTTGCTTTTAAACCATGTACAATATTTACAAAGGTACACTCACCAGAGGTCCCTTCTCCGCCTTCAAGGTCCGTGAGCCCGCCTTGGGTGGGTTGGGAGGGTACTGGGTCCAGGGTGATAAAAAGTTCCTGGCTGTCGGGGGAAAAAGTTTTCTCCGCTTGCATGCTATGCACTATCTTCAACGTCCCCCTCATCATCATCTTCCTTGTCCCCAAAATCCGCATCCCTGTTGCGTGAGAATCCATTGACGGAGTCCACGCACAGGGGTGGGGTAGTTGTAGGGGCACCCCCTACAATGGCATGCAGCTCATCATAGAAGCGGCATGTCTGGGGCTCTGACCCGGAGCGGCCGTTTGCCTCTCTGGTTCTTTGGTAGGCTTGTCTGAGCTCCTTAAGTTTCAGGTGGCACTACTGCGGGTCCCTGTTATAGCCTCTGTCCTTCATGCCCTTGGAGATTTTTTCAAATATTTGGGCATTTCGTCTTTTGGAATGGAGTTCTGATAGCACGGATTCATCTCCTCAAACAGCAATCAGATCCAGTACCTCCCGTTTGGTCCATGTTGGAGCTCTTTTGAAATTCTGGGACAGCATGGTCTCCTGTGCTGATCAGCTCGCCATGCTGGCCAAACAGGAAATGAAATTCAAAAGTTCGCGGGGCTTTTCCTGTCTACCTGGCCAGTGCATCGGAGTTGAGAGTGCTGTCCAGAGCGGTCACAATGAAGCACTCTGGGATAGCTCCCGGAGAACAATACCGTCAAATTGCGTCCACACTACCCCAAATTCGACCCAGCAAGGTTGATTTCAGTGCTAATCCCCTCATCAGGGAGGAGTACCGAAATCGATTTTAAGAGCCCTTTAAGTTGACAGAAATGGCTTCGTCGTGTGGATGGGTGCAGGGTTAAATCGATCTAACGCTGCTAAATTCAACCTAAACTCGTAGTGTAGACCAGGGCTAAGCCTAAGAATCTAGGTTTCAGAGTAGCAGCCGTGTTAGTCTGTATCCGCAAAAAGAATTTATGCTCTAATAAATTTGTTAGTCTCTAAGGTGCCACAAGTACTCCTGTTCTTTTTCTAAGAATCTAATACAGAGAGAAGAATAAGAGTGTAAAATTCATCTTTGCGGGCAATTTTTCACTGGGTTGTCTCACTTTTCTAGGGCCTGACCTTTCTCCACATTGTTGCTCCTTATGGACTGAATCCTAGAGTATCTGTTATACATAGGTTGTATTTGTCTATAGATAATTATATAATGTTATA